GGCTATGATCTTTTTTACGAAATCTTATTTTTAAGCAAAGCAAATTTCCTACCAATTTGTGTTAAAGGTAATCATACTTCAAACAAATAGCTAAGCGGGTTTCGAAAATTTGGAATAATCTCGTTTTGAACATAATAGGGTTTTTTTAAAAAGTTTTTGTTGATAGAAAGAAACTTATAGAAATGTGATGAATCTTGTTGGATATATTCCCATTACAGAACTTTTCAACGTTTGTTGACTGGCTCAGGACTGCTAGTGATGAGTGGGATAGTTCACAAAATAAGAAGTCTGATTGGCTTCGAAAAGGCGGAAGTCAAGATGGAAGGAAGCCCCCCAAAAGATATGAGTGAAATTATTGCTCGATTACCGGTATGTTTCTATTTAGCTCCCTTGTTCACATAGTGTGTACTTTACACTTTTTAAGGAGTCATTTCATAAGTATATGCGAGACGAGTTACCGTATCGCCGAGCTGCTGCCGTTGTTTTTATCGCTATTGTTCTTGGAATGGGCACACCGCTATGGTATCATACTACGCAAACATATCGGGCACCTTTTGAAACGTTTTCCGTGGAAACTGCAATTCCTCTCAGTGTCAAGTAAGTATGCGCATCTAGAATTTCAAAAAAATCTTCAGAAATGGGTAAAGCACTACAATATTTCGCTAATGCTGTCGCGTTGCTGAACTTGTTTTTGTCTAACAGAAGCTACTTACTAGTAAAGGGCGCACATTTATACCACTCTTGTAGCTCTTCTTTCTTTGTTTATCTTGAGGAAACGGAGAATGTTGTAGTTAAAAAAAAGGGAGACCTAAAGAATGTGGATTTGTTGCAGTTTCAAAGACTATGACATCTTCAAAAGACATCAAGAAAAACGCCGCATTTTAGCATTCACTTTGCAGTCACCAATAGAAGCCTTGTGCAGGAAATAAAATCTCTAACTGAAGTGCTTCTCAATAAACTCATGGAAGGCGAGGTTAAAGCGCCCCTGAGTTTCAGATGGAGTATAACATATCAAGGATTGAGGTGCGATCAGGCATAATCTAGAAAAGCTATTTACATGTTCTGTCTTAGTTTAGAGATTTGCTTTCTCTTCAATCTGAACACTCAGTCAACTCCGATTCAGTCGAAGTCTTTGCTGCTATTGTTGCACCGGAGCAATGGCCTCACTTCTCTGCATCCAACATATTTCTTGGTCGTGGTTGTTGGACCCTGGTGCAGTATAATTCTGATAGAAGCAAGCTTGAGGAGAGGTTGCAAAGCCTTATTTGGGAAGTAAGCATGTCTCCTGGTAATTTTTTGTAGCCCTTCCAATTATGTTAGCTTAATGCTGTTCAGGTTTTGATAGATATTCCGCATCTAAATTCCATTATTAAACGCGACCTCCGCGAAAAAATGCTGCCTTGGCAAATTGCTGCATTATCGCCTTCTCACCAAGTTTGTCTTTGCATTTTCAGCTACGATATAATTGTTCATCATTTGAGTCATTATATGATTTTATGGTTACAGAAACGATTAATTTGGGATTCTGCTACTTTATCCATGAATTATATCATCCAAGTTGTTCATGTGCACGACAACGTTGGTCCACCGGTCTCTTCGTCAGATGACATCATGAAAGTGATGGAAGTATTTGCAAAA